CTCCCTCTCTCTCTTTCTCTCTCCTTCCCTCCTGTTCCCCCTCCCTCTCTCTCTTTCTCTTCATCCCTCTCTCCCCCTCCCTCTGTCTCTCTCTCTCTCTGTCTCTCTCTCTCTCTGTCTCTCTCTCTCTCTGCCAGCTCCATTCCCTCTTCCCCCTCGGAGCTCCCAGATTGTCCTGATGCTGACCCCTGACTCTCACGTCTCCTCCTCCTCCTCTGATTTCAGCTGCCGGAGTGACCGGCAGCCAACAGGCCGCAACAAATAACTCCTAATTGAAATTCTGGGCTTCCTTGTGGTTGTATGTTGAGGACTATGTAAGTGATCATTGAGCACATGGGAGCGAGATCTCTTCTGTATCATCCGTTCCTGCTTTGGGATCGTCCCTCTTCTGCAGATCGTCCAAGAAAGAGACCCTTCAGAGACCCCCTTCCTCAGTCCGGAGATGTTGCTTATGCTGCACTCCAAAGCCAACTGGAACGGTTACTGCTTATCTTACCTGCTGACCGACCGGGATTACAGTGGCGTCCTTGGCGTTGCTTTCAATGGGCAACCAGGTGAGACGCTCTGCGGGATTCTGATCCGCCCACCGGAACTTCCATCTCCCACAGCAAACGGGCCTGATGTGGAGCAGCGACAGCTTCGTTGCCTCCCTTAACAAATGTCTCCCTTAGCAACAGAACGTTTGAGCTCAGTTGGTGGTCATAAGTCAAGGACTGTGCTCTCTAATTACTTTACTTTATTTTATTTTTATTTTATTTTTATTTATTTGTCAATAGCTTACAAGATAATAAACATGTATAAATACAGGAAATGAGCAGGGGTGGGTGGGATGCTACCGGTTTGGCCCGGTTCTATAGAACCGGTAACTCTGAAGAGCAGCAGACACCGAACCAGTTCGCTGCAACAGCCTTTGGTTCGACCGTTTGGCCTACCCGCCTGCCCAGGCTCTTGGCTGTCCTTTATTTCCTGCTTTTTCAACCTCAGCTGCTTTGCGCAGCACAGCTGAGGTTGAAAAAGCAGGAAAGAAGAGGCTTTTCAAATGCTACGCACCCGCGCACAGCGCTTTTCAGCTGTCCAAGCAGCACAGCTGAGTTTGTTTTTTTTGCAAATGCTGTGTGCGTGCATGTAAAATGCATTCTCACCAAACCAGTAGTAAACACCGGTTGAATCCCACCCCTGGAAATGGGTACGAATAATTGGGGACAATAGGACAGGGACGGTAGGCACAATTGTGCGCTTATGCACGCCCCTTTCTTACAAACTTCCAGTGTTGGAGCAACCACAACTTCTGGAGGCAAGTTGTTCCACTGAATAATTGTCCTCACTGTCAGGAAATTCCTCCTTAGTTCTAGGTTGCTTCTCTCCTGGATTAGTTCCCATCCGTTGCTTCTTTGTCTTGCCTTCTGGTGCTTTGAAGAATAGCTTGACTCCCTCTTCTTTGGGGCAGCCCCTCAAGCATTGGAAGACTGCTATCTATTACCCCTAGTTCTTCTCTTCTGAACATTTATAGAATACAGAATAACACAGGGACCTTGGAGGTCTTCTAGTCCAACCCTAAACCATTTTAGACAAATGGTTGTCCAATCTCTTTTAAAAGTTCTCTCTGTCAGGAAATTCCTCCTTAGTTCTAAGTTGCTTCTCTCCTTGATCAGTTTCCACCCGTTGCTTCTTGTCCTGCCTTCTGGTACTTTGGAAAATAGCTTGACCCCCTTCCTCCTCTCTGTGGCAGCCCCTCAAATATTGGAAGGCTTCTATCCTGTCTCCCCTGGTCCTTCTCTTCACCAGATTAGCCAGGCCCAGTTCCTGCAACTGTTCTTCGTGTTTTGGTGTCCAATCCCACAATTGTTGCTCTTCTCTGCACTCTTTCCAGAGTCTCAACATCATTTTATGTCGTGGAGACCAAAACTGGGTGCAGTATTCCAGGTGCGGCCTTACCCAGGATGGTTGGCTGCGTGCAAGTTAGACATCTTCACTCTTTCCTTCTTCACTGTGATTGTCGTTTGCAGACGACTTCGGAGGGATTTGCTCAAAATATCAGCATTTCCAGGAGAAAGAAGCCTCCCTGAACACGGGGCTGATCACGCTGCAGAAGTATGGCCAGCTGCTCCCTCCGCGCATGATCCACATCACCCTGGCACATGAATTCGGCCACAGCCTGGGCGCGCCCGTGAGCCTTCCTTTTTCTGGGTGACCATCCTGTAAATCAGGGGTGTCAAACTCAATTTCATTGAGGGACGCATCTGACGGGGGGGACGACGGAGGGGGGGGGCACGGCCAGCTTGAAGTCACTCGTGTTGAGGGTGCCTGTAGTGGACCGAGCGCTCTACCAGCGAAAATGGGCTCCTGAGTTCTGTTTTCAGCTAGCACGGCCTTCTGCCACCCTCTGCTAGCGAAAACATAGCTCGGGAGGACTGTGCGCAGCCCTCAACGAGCTCCGTTTTTAGCCGGGGCACCCTCCTGCAGCCCTCTGCCACAGGGGTGGCCTTCAAAAATGGTAGCAATTGCTTCTCTGCCTGGTTGCTGGGTGTGGGTGTGGCCTAGTCGGCCTCCTGCACCACGGCGGTGGTGGAGGTGCGTTTTTGCCCTTCCCGTGCTCCGGAGGCTTTCCTCGAGTCTCCGGGAAGAGCAAAAACGGCCTCCCTGGGCTGCGGAGGCTCTCTGGAAGTTGGAAACGGGCCTGTTTCTGGCCTTCCCGAACTTCCAGTTTTTTGCCCTCCCAGTTGCCTCCACACACACCTTGAACTTACCTGCATCCAAAACGGGCCGCGTGGGGACTCGTGGGAGGGGAGGGGCAAGAGGGGAGGGGCCAGCCAGGAGTGGGATTTGGGGGTTCTCTGAACTGTGCAGATTCTTAGCAAGGGGGTCTCCCAAACTCCTGTGAACCTCCAGCAGCCCACTCTTGCTCTGCCAGCGAAAACGGCGCCTTCTTGAGTTTTTTCCTTCTTGAGCTCCATTTTTGCCGGCACTGTGAGCCAGACAATTGCTATTTCCAAAATGGCGGGCGTCATGGGCCAGATCTAAGCACCCCCTCAGGCTGGATCTGGCCCTCGGGCCTCGAGTTTGACACCCCTGCTGTCAATTTTTAAAAGTTTGACTCTGGATCGTTTTAAGTCCACCCTGGTCTCCTTCTCTGCCATTTTTTTTTTCTTACAGCACGACCAGAGCAAAGAATGTTCCCGGTTTGATTTCAACACCAGCCGGGGGAAATTCCTGATGTTCAATTACGCCACAGACGGGACCGAATTCAATAACGATAAATTCTCTCCGTGTAGCATCGCCTACATTTCAAATGTTCTGGAGCGCAAGAAGGATCGTTGTTTCGCAGGTTCGGAGAATCCGACACGGGTTTGAATCCTTGAGATGGCGGAACAAAAATCCAGTTTGAAAAAAATTTGATTTCTGGTGGCCGGGAGTTCCAAGGATCCTGGATTAGGTTCTCAGTGGCAGGGGGGGCTGGATCGTTTTTCCTAGCCTTGGACACTTTAAGACAGTGATCGCCAACCAGTGGGCCAGGGACCACTGGTGGGCCATGGGAAAATTTTGGTGGTCCGCAGAGAAATGTCACTCCCAAAGCAATTAATCCAAGCTGCGCGGGAACACAAGACTTGCGTCGCTTGCATTGCGAACAACACGAGGTAGTGAGGGGAGGGGGAAAAGGGCGGAGGGGAGAACTTGCCCCACTCGCCCCATGCGCCTCGCCTGGCCACCGGGCTGCTTCTTTCCGCTTCTTTCTTCTTCTACTTTTGGCTGCATGCAAGGAAAGCAGCAAAAGTCTTTCTTTCTCTCCCCCAAACTCTGCCAGAAATGAGTCTTTAGGATCCTGCAAGGCCTCCTGCTCCGAGAGGCTGCGTCGGTGCAACAAGTCTCACAAAGACTCATTTCTGTTGGAGTTTGGGGGAAAGAAAAAAAAGACTTCTGCTGCTTTCCTTGCATGAAGCCAAAAGTCTCTCTCTCTCTCTCTCTCTCTCTCCCCCACTGAGAATGGAGCTGGAGACGGTATCATGTGATCCCAAATAAAGAATGATTGACCGGTAGGAAAATGGGATGGGGAATTTTCCTGCAGACTTTTTGGGGGATTTTCCCAGGGTCTCTGCTGCTTTCTGCAGAGACCCTGGGAAAATGTCAGCAAGCCACTGTCAGTCAAAATTTATATTAGTGGTCCACGGGATTTAAAATTATGAGTTCGGTGGTCCCTGAGGTCCAAAAAGTTGTTGACCCCTGATCTAAACAACTGTGGCCAATGTGACGCCAAGTTGGAAGACAATAATCCTCATCTTGTTGTTGACTAACAAATATGGGTAGACAATCCCTGCCCATGGAGGGTCTATTATGGCTCCCATCAACGGGAGTTCAAAGGTAGACTTTCTCTTCCCAGGGAGGCTTGGCAGTATTTTTCACAGTTGTTGTGGCCTGCCGTGGCTGGCGGAGCTGGCAGCAGAATTGGACAGTAGTGAGGAGGTTGGGGTGGAACCCAGGCCATTTTTGGAGGCTGAGGAAGGGTCAGAAGAGGGCTCTGCATCAAAGGCAAAGATAGGGCCAGGGCAGGCTGGCAGTCATCAGCTGCCTTTGGGCTCGGACAGCAGTGAGGCGGGGAAGCTTCTGGAACCGGTTCCCAGCCTGAGCATGCGCAGAGCTGACAAAAAGAAGGCACAATTAAGAACTCGGGGTCGACGTGGGAGGATGGCCGCAGGTGGACGATGAATGGCCCCTCCCATCAGGATTAAAAGAAAAGCAAAAGGGGAGGGGGCTTTTGTAAGAAACAACATGCTCGTTCGTTCGTTCGTTTGTTCGTTCCAGCCTCGTGAAGATTTGTCTGTGTAACCTAGGCCTTCCTTGTCAGCACTGAGTGTGGAATTTTACCCGGCAGCGTTCCAGGATTGATAAAGGTCTGAGCTAATTAGTATACCTTCAACAAGACTGTTTGCCAAGCCGTGGGCTGATTGTGAATGAAATAAATTCACAATTAATGTAATCAAAGAGGGGGATTCAGAATTGACTTAGTGCTTTTTGGGGAGGCCTAGGACAGAACAACAGTGTCCAGAACCACAGCTTTTGAGAAGCTGAGACGCAAGCCATGAAATCAAGCCTCCCTTTTTTAGCTGTGAAGTCTTGCGGGTAGACTGCCACAGAGCACAGAGGCTCCGCTATGCTTTTAACACTCACTGCAGCCGATATGGGATGGCCTGACTTCTGTTCCAGGCCAACACCCAAATGATCGAGCAAACTTTGCAAACTTTCTCCTGGGAATAAGTACTGTTTCCACTCTTCTCCATCTTCCTTTCCAGAATCTGACCGTCCCATCTGTGGGAACCAGATTGTGGATCCAGGAGAAGAATGCGACGTTGGGAGCGACAATGAGGACGCCTGCTGCTATGGTGCTGGAGAGCCGAGGGGAATCCAGTGCCGGTTGAAACCAGGAGCAGAGTGCAGGTAGCAGTGACGAATTGGTATTGTTTATTTACATGACAATAAAGGCTTTCATCTATCTATCTATCTATCTATCTATCTATCTATCTATCTATCTATCTATCTATCTATCTATATCTATCTATCATCTATCTTCTATCTATCTATCTATTATCTATCTATCTATCTATCTATCTATCTATCTATCTATCTATCTAT